TGCTTGCCTTTTATTTGTTAACCGTGATCTAAGCAGAATAATAGGGGTTTGTTGCCTTGCTTTGACTTAGATTCTTGGGTTGGCTTCTAAATTAGCTTTTAGCTGAACAAAGTTGAAATCTTTGGCTGGACTTTGCGCTGAAAATCCATGGGTATCAAGGCTAATTCAGCTTTGTTGTAGCCAGAGGGATGATCTAAAAAATCAAACACACGCAGGCTTAAATCGAGTGAGTGGAAATATAGAATGGTTGGTTCCCGTTGCGCACTACCTTTGTAAGAGAAGTTGATGTTATGAATAAGAGTTTGTATCTCAAAGGAGTGGATGGTGGTGTCAATGAATAGAAGTACTGTGACTGAGTTTTCATATCACACATACGAATGTCTCTTTAGTTGTATTTGACGCCTTGCTCTGCTGGTATTCGCCAGATTTGAGAAGATGTCTTGGTAGTTTATAAGTTCGGAATCTGATTCCCACTCTGCAGAAACAAAATACTTCCTTTATTGATCTTCGGTTGTCGATTACAATCAAGAAACATGACCCAAACCCTTTGAAAGAACCAAAATTGTGCAAGAGATTCGTTGAGGACATCTCCTAAGTCTCTCAAAGCCAAGATGCTTACTCAAAATTTGCTCTTATATATATCTCTGACCTGTTTTTTCTATGTGGTAACTGGGGCTGATGCACTCTCTTATCAATGCTTCTTTTGGTTGTTTGAAACCTTCCTTTTGTTCTGAAACATGTTGAGCTTTGCAGAGTTCACATAATTAAACTATGGTAAATGGTCAAAATCTTCATGATGTTGCAGGAGTTGTGCTTTTTCTTGGCTTCATAATTGACAGAATGCACCACTACCTCAGAAAGCTAATCAATTTGAGAAGCAACGTCGGGTCATCAAAAGAAGAACTTGAACAGCTCCAGAAAGAGAGAACCGGTCTGAAGGAGAAAGAGGAGAAGGCATCCAAGGAAATCAAACAGTTGAAAGAAAAATTGTCATCTACTTCTGAGAGACTTAAGAAAGCGGAGACCGAGTCGAAAGAGAAAGAGAGGAAGCTCGAAACCGCTGAGACCCATGTCACGGCGCTCCAGAAACAGTCTGCGGAGCTGCTGCTGGAGTATGATAGATTGCTAGAAGACAACCAAAATCTCCAAAGTCAAATTTTGGGGAAAGCGAAGAACTGATGTAAGGTTGTTGGGTTTGTCATTTAACAACGGTGCTGAAGAGAGAGTTTGTGGTGGGTTCAGTTGCATGAATTCTTGCAACATTTTTGTTTTCAGTACGTGGATATTGAGTATCTTGTGAAACCGGTTCTTGTTACTTTCGTGCATCTGATTTTTAATTACGAAATAAACCTATCGTAATTGGTAAATGTTTAGTCTTAATTTAGTTAGATTTGTCAATTAGGACCAAAGTCCTAATAGTGTAAAACAGGGTTTAGATTTAAGATATCTAACTAAACAAACATTTACCAAAAAAACAGGGTTGTGCTAACACTTTTTAGAAATGCATTTTACTAAGTTTAGCTTGATGACCAGTCACAATCTTGCTTTAAAAGCCCGAAAGGAAACATAGTTGTTTGATAA